CGATTGTTTATAGGGCGAAGGTGCGAAGGGACGAGGAGCAAGCTGCAATTGCTGCGATTGATGCGCGAAGGTGCAAAGGAGAAGGGAGATGATGAGATTAGAGGGCGGCTTAGCCGTCCTCTCCGAATCGAGGGGCCTCGCAAAGACCCATTAGCAAGGGACTCAGTCGAGGCTAGTCCCTACTAATCCCATTAAACTTAGTCCGGGTAGGAAACAAACATAGGACTAGACTAAAACTTAGTCCAATCCAGTTTAGTGAAAGACAGTGAGTCCAAACAAACACACCCTGTGTCCACTCTCACTTGTGCCAGAAACTGAAGAAGAAGAAGTACAACTATGCAACGCTCGAGGAGTTTGACGATGAGACAAGCAAAGACGATGAGGCCCAAAAGAAGGATCTAGTTTGACCAGGACAAGAAATCTGAACGACACAAAATATGCGTGATACTCCGCCACCTCTTCCTCCTTATCAGCATGACAAGAGAAGACGGAAATATAAGCCAACTTTGTTCGAATTAACCTAAGCAGTATACTACTTTGGAAACTTTAATTAACAACATCCTTCATACCATCAAGGATAAGCTTAACCTGAAAAAGCCAAAACCTTTTCCTGATTACTTGGCGAAGAGGAGACTAAATGATTATTTCTCCTTTCATTTTAAAGCACCTGACATACTAATCCTATGCTCCAGGATCACATTTAAAAGTTGATTTACTGGGGTTACTATTAGAACAAAATTTGCTTAGATCCGCGGACAGAGACGAGATCATTCAGATTTGCCCATAATCTCCGAAAATGGAAGAATGGGGTTGATTGGGGAAGGGAGTATGGTTGAAACCAAATTGGACTGCCTACATATCTTTGAGAGAGAGAGAATCAAACTATATGTGTAGTTTTGAGAAAGAATAGTGTGATGTGTAATACATCGTGAATCATCCTCAACGAATAGCCTATGGCATGCAGTAATGAGATAAGTTTTCCATGGGCGTGTTTACATGTATATGGTGGCATGGATTTAAGATGAGTTCATGTTAGGTGTAGAGAGAATATATGTGTAGTAGTCTTTTAGAGGAGATGATGAATCTAGAGAAGGTCCTTTCAGTTATGATTGATTGATTAATTGATCTCCCTCGATAAATGACCAAGCTAGGGTATTTATATAGATCTTCAAAGTCCTTGTGGGGAGAGTTATCCCAATGAAATTCGGAGCCTGTCTATGAGAGATTCTAAGATAAGATATCCAATTCTCCTAGGATTACGATTGCGTTGCCTAATCTCAAAGATATCTTACTTTGACTTAAAGTAGGGTTTCCTTACTTGAGAGACAAGAAATGCATATTGTGGAATGGTTGTTTGACTATGCCTTTGACTAATAAGCCCGTTGGAATAGCTTACTCTGATTCTGACTAGAAAACCTAACTAGTCAGACTGTTTGAACTTCATGAGCTATGGGCATTCTTCTTATCACCCAATATTTAATACTATTAGGGAATATTGAATGCTATTATGATTCTATAAAATATGTAATCTTGGTTTCCTTTTTGTCTAAATGAATGGAACTATGCCACGTATAAATAGAAAACCAAACTAAGAGGTAGTTCTCTAGAACGATTAGGTTTTGACGGTAAAAAGATACGGTTTCAATTTTTCACATTCTTCTCCTTTACAAGGTGGCTCTGCAAGTCCAGGTCCTGCGTATATGAACTTTACAAGTCACACTATAAATCAATGACATATTGCAAAAATCCATCAAAAAGTTCTTAGGACAAATCTATGATTCAAATCTTCAAAACAAAAACGCAATCCAATATATAAGGTATATTACATAAAACTACCTCAATTATTGGGTCAGTCACAGTTTCATACCTCATCTTTAAAAAATTTCAATGTCATACCTCATCTACAAATTTTTTACAATTTCATACATTCCGTCAGTTTTCTGTCAATTTTTCCGTGAAATAGTGACATGGCTTAAAAAAATTAATAAAATATTAAAAAACTAAAAAAAAATTCATTTTTAAATTTTTTTTTGCACGGGGACCCACCCCGTACCCTTTCCTCCCCCACTTCTCTTTCTCGCGGTGCCTATAACCCCCTTTCTTCCCCCTCTTTCTTCCCCATCCCGTCTTCCTCAAACCCAAAATCAACCAAATACCATCTCAAACCCAGATCCCACTCCCCGCTGCCATACCATCCTAAACCCAGATCCCACTTCCCGCTACCATTCTTCGGCACATCCCTCAGTGCACCCACTCCTCCCTCACCTCCCCAACGCCCTCCTCCGTAGCCACTCTTCGCCACATCCAATAAATCCGCCAAAACCCTTAACCCGGAAACCCTCTGAAACTCTTCCTTGCTCTCCTCATACCTGGCCACCTGCGCAATCACCGCCATAGCGTCCTCCGCGTCGTATAGGAGCAAAGATATTTGAGGGTTTGGAGGGGCAGAGGAAGAGGGCAAAAGTGGTACTAGAGTAGAGAAAGGGTCGGTTGACCCAATTTGGTGAATGCGGAGTTGGAATCAAAGAGGGAGTCGGTCGATAGCGGTGTGGACAGAGTGAAGGAGGGAGGGAGTTAAGCGATGGCATGGTGCGGGTGAGGTGGGTGATCGGCACGAGGGGGAAGGAGGGAAGGAGGTAGTGATCAGCACAGAAGATATGAGATGGGTGGGATCTAGTGAGGGAGGGTGCAGACGGGGTCAACGAGGTCAGGTTAGGGGGTGAAGGTGATGAGATGGAGAAGGGATCCAAGGTTAAGGTTGGGGCCGACGAAGCTGTTGTTGCAACATGAAAGGGATAAAGAATAGGGAGGAAAAAGGATGGCGGATGAAAAAAACCCAAGTGGGTTAGGGGGTTTTGGGCACGGCGAGAGAGAGAAGTGGGGGAGGAAAGAGAGGGGGAAAAAAGGGTACGGGGTGGGTCCCCATGCAAAAATAAAATTTAAAAATGATTTTTTTAAAGTTTTTAAATATTTAATTAATTTTTTAATATTTTATTAATTTTTTAAGCCATGTCACTATTTAACGGAAAAATTGACAGAAAATTGACGGAAGGTATGAAATTGTGAAAAATTCGTAGATGAGGTATGACATTGAAATTTTTTAAAGATGGGGTATGAAACTGTAACTGACACAATAGTTCATGTAGTTTTATGTAATTTACCTCAATATCTAATACCAAGAACTCGAGGCAGTTGAGTTCGATGTGATCTGAGAGCTGTCTTCAAAATCGAGACTAGCGAGCTGTTCTAGGCAACTGCCTAATCCCTTTGTCGATGTTTCTCCTTATTCTAGCTTAATCACGATGACTAGTCACCGTCAAGGTCGATTTTTAAAACCCTAGTCGTAAGTACTATATACATCAACATATATATTTGTATAAAGATTTATGAATGTATGGAAGATGAAATTTCTCTGAACTATTTTCATGGATGATAGTTAGATAGAGTAAGTTTTTGTAAACACTAAAATTCTGTATTCAATGAAACGAGAACATGTGTACAAAGTAAACTTTTATTGATTTGAATTTGTAGGTTACAATCTATGTTTACAATTTTCCTCTTAGTCAGTCTTCAAATTTGATGTAGATGCGTGATTGTTGATCCAAAGGCCGCGATAACTTGATCTCGGACGGTTGAACGATTACTTCAAGTTTTGAGCTTGAAAACAATGCGGATGATCTTCACCTCAAGGGTGCGGCAAAGGTAGTGTTTGATGTCAGATTTCGTTACTTCAAGGGTCTTGGAGACTTGATCTTGAAACGAACATTGCTACAAGTTTATAAGCTTGCAACAAAGTCTTGAAGGAATTAGCATGAGCGCTTGTTGATTCTTCAAAGGAGTGCTTCAGCTTTGGTCGAGAGAAAGCTTCGGCTTTGGTTGAATGTTCTTCGAAGAGAGCTTTGGCAACGTATAAGTCTTCAAGGTTTGGCAGAGGTTCTTCTGTGTAGAGATTTTCCGACCTCCATGCTTGTGGGAGGACCTTGTATTTATAGGCTTCTCAAAGCTTGCCTTTGGGTGGATTTGGCTTTGATTTATGTCCTAATTTGTCCATGGGAGAATTTAGGCATGTTTTGTGTCTTAATTTCAGCCACTTTACTCCTTTGGCCGAAATTATGAGGCCTTGTTGCCTATTTTGTGAGCAATCTTCAATTCTTGCTTGTTTTATGAAGATGCCTTAACTTTCTTTCCGGTTTTATGACCAGTCTAGACCATTTTGCCGAATTTAAAGGGTGTTTCTCCCTTGTGCCGATTTTTGGGAAGGTTTTATAATTCCTTTGCTTGATTTATGCCACATGTCGTTGATGACTTGTCCATTTGTAATGAGTTATATGCCACGTAGAGCTTTATGATGCACCTTTTGTATGCAACGAAATTTACATGTCTACAATTTTATTTATTTTTGTATATACCTCTATCACATATACAATGTATTTTATCAGCCTGTGACATAGGTATCATATAGAATGACATAAACTTTCTTAATTATTATCCATGGAAGTGCTATTTTTCATATTTAAATGTGCAAGTTAAAATTTTTGAACCTCATCAAAGTCACCCATTTGAAATCACACCAAAAAGTTGAGAGTTTTAGGTACTTAATTATTATTATTTTTTTAATTTAAAAAGAACAAATAATGTGAAGAAAACAGCATCCATGTTTACTCACTGTGGTCTCTCTATAAATACAATACGAGTAAACATGCTATTTTGGAGATTCAAGAAATTGCAATCATACGCAACCTTGATCAAACGTCAAATGTAAGAGCAACAAAGATTTTACGCGTCTGCAAGCCGAAAAAGGCATATACCTGGTAGTGGGCTGTGTATTTTTTCTTTGGCTTTGTGTCCTTATTTATACTAATCACATACAAATTTTGATTAAACCTTACTTTAAGTTTATACAATCACATTCTTAAAATAATTCTATCTACAAAATGGATGACGTGTACTCATTATTTCATGCGCGGCCAAGAAGATGTTGAAGAAAACAAGGCAAAATGAAACACAAATGTAAGTTTCGGAGGTTAAATATCAACCATTCAGGTACACAATGAGGCTCGGGTTTTGTTCTAGGGGACAAATGATTATTTAAGCCTAATTAGAAAGATTCATAACTTAGCTTGTCATCCCCAACCCAAAACTGGACTAGTCTGAATTAGTAGGCCTGCATTTACCACACAGATTTGGATACAATACAACTTAATATACAGCAATGTCTGGCTGCATGGAATACACAAATATAGTTTTACATATAACACACCGTCACACTCACACAGAAATGCCTTCCAATTTGTTTTCGAGTTAAAACACACAAGTCAGTCATATCTTACAATAACTCGACTTTATTTAGTAGTTAAGGAAGTACAACTTCCCATCTGTCTCCACTTTTTAACCAGGGAAACTACGGAAGACTGAAAATACAGAATACGAAGCTGATTAGCAATTTCATTGAAGATGTTGAAGAATAAAAGCATACTAGCAGTACAATAAAACTTACGAACATCATGAATTTGTGATCTCGTACGAAATCATGCAAGTGATTTTATGCCATATGCTTGAGAAGTCGAGACTATGGAATGGATTTTATCCCATATTTTCGATTGAATAACGGTGATCGTCACTCTAACAATCTATTAGACTACTAGTTGACATGAGATGATTTACATAAGATGAAATAAATATTTGCAAGTGATGAAATTGGTTGTATAATATTTTACAATATGATGAATTTTTAGACCATTATGCTAAAGCAGTAGGTTGGACCATTCAGATAATAATACTTTCAGAAAAACAAAAACAATTTTAGTATCGATGGATACCACATAATCTGTGCTATCCTCTACTACTTCCCTTAGGTTTTCTCCAAATTTTTCCTTTTGGGTGAGGAAAGGAGCCAAACGGACCAAAGAAACATGAGGTGCAGAAAAAAGGAAAAGCCCAGATGAGCACTAGAGCTAATCTATGTATTTACACACCAAAACACCGTGCTCATTTTCCCTTCATCGGGAGTATAGCATGATGAGCCCCCATCTACGGCAGCTCCGGATGAAAGGACAGTAATGGATATTAAGAAAAAAGGATTTTCCCGAGGATCACTCTGTTATATTAGACTAATTTTTACCATCCACCTATATTACTGAAATATATTGAAACTATTCTTAATTTGGCAAGGGCTTTGTTACTGAAGTGGTAAAAAAACATATTCATGTAAAAATATAATATATAGAAAAAATTGGAATTCAATAATCAGTTTGCAACTAGTCGGTTTTTATTTATTTTGGTACAAACTAGTCAATCTTTCCAAATATTTATTTTCTCTTATTAAGTAATCACGGGATAAAACAAAACAAAAAACCTACAATATTAAATCTACTAGTCTAGTAGTATTCTTCTTCACTTGTAAGTGAGATGTTTTAGGTTCAATTTTTGCCAATGGCGAATTTGAATCATATTACCATGGCTCACTCATTATGAAGATTAGCCCATTCCCCCATCCCTTTAGTAAAGATAATATCGTTTGTTTAAAAAACAAAAAAAAACAAAAAAAACAAAAGGCGTGGCAATACCATTAGTATATTTGAACACAAGCTTCCGCCGCGCCACAAAGGAGATGGACTATGCTCGATTCGACATTTATTAAGACCTTCCCTAAATGGTGATGTATATAAAATTCGACCTGATCATGCTGATATGAATCAAGCTTGAGAGAACAAACCATGGTAAGTTAACAAACCCTTCGCACTAGGATAGCAAAATATAATATCTCTTCCTAGATGTGAACATGAATTTCTTGCGATTAATGAAAAAAAAAATGTCTACAAAGTATTAATTTGTATTAATGTAAGTTTAGGTTACAATATGTGATACAAAATTTTGATCCTCTAATTCGATCTCCCAATTGCAAAGTATATGTGTAGGGTTGTTGATCCGAGGATCGTAGAGACTTGGTCTCGAATCCAGGAATGTTGTAAGGAGTTGCCTTGTGGAGATGGACAAATTGACATATGTAGTGTTGCTTGATAGTTTACGCAAATATAGAGTTACCTTGAATTTTTAAGGATAATATCTGAGATCCATACAAGGCATTTGACCTCCCGAATGAAACCTGCTTCGATCAATTTATCAATCTCAGCTTTGTTCGAACTCAAAAATGCACCAACAAAGATGAGCTTTGGTTCTTCACTAATGCCTAAGTTGAGTTCCTTCAAGTCATCAATAGTTGTTTGCCCCTCATCCTTGAATTGTGATGGAGCTTCTTTAATGTCTTATTCGAAGACTTCTTCCTTGTCAACGTCTTCGACCGTGACATGGTAGACGTCCTAGACCATTTCTTCGTCATCCTTTTTTACTCTGAACTCAAATATAATGTCAAATGACGTTTCATGTGTGAAGGGATTGCACGACGAATTTCGTCATCCCTGGCTAGCTTGACATGTCTTCTTCTTTATGATACTGGGGCTGCTCTTTCCTAGAAGGTTCTTTTACGACTTCAAGTCTATCCAAGGCTGACCTTCGTGGAAGATAACTAACCACGCTTTCATGTCAATGAGGGCTAGTCAACCTCTTAAGCATAGAAGCTCAATGCGGTCCAACACAAAAGCTCGAGATCTTGAACCGATCAAGCTATCAAATACCGAAGTTTGTGCAATGGACTTCAGCTCTTTCTTTTCTTTCGTCACTTCCACACTAATGATCCCTTTGAGAATCATTAGCTCTTCTCAGACATTGAGCGCTCTGGCTACTTGTTGCTAGTTTTCTTGAGATGAGACATTGCTTATTTTTCCTACTCAGGCATGGCTTTGCCTGTTGATTGAATCTTCATGAGGAAAGCCTCATATACCATTTCCTCATCTATGTAAACCTTGGCGTCGGCAAAATGTGACTGCTTCGGTGAATGACTTACTATCAGCATGTATCTTCATCGCTCCATTTCTATTGAACTTTAGACACTGATGCAGGGTTGAGGTACAACTCCATTATCATAAATCCAAGGTCTCCCTAAGAGTAGATGGAAGATCGATCACGTGAAACAGCGTATTCAACTTTAGTTCTCATATTACTATCTCGATCCTAATCATGCCTATTGCATGCCTTGATTAAAACCTTAGATTCGAAGGCGACTTCAAGATAGTTTGTCCATTGTGATTCCCTGATTTGTTATCGATGATTTTGGCAGAATGATTATAAATGAACCTTCGTTGACGAGCATATGGCCTATGTTTTGTTCTCTTACGTAGAAGAGTGAACGGTTGTGTGGTTTCAACCCCAGCAATAGATATTATTCGGTTAAGTTGATGGCAGCACATATAGCGTAACACATACCGCACTCATGAGATCGAAGCCCTAGATATCTAACCTTGCCTATCTTCAAAGACTAAGTGTTGAGATTCATCAAAACTTCCACTAATTCCCTTCGTTCTGCTTCAGGGAGCTACAACACCTTTTCCACACTAAAGTGCAGAGATAAGTCTTCTATTTGTGCATAAATCTCCTCTTGCTTTTTGGTAGAACGCCATTTGAATACTTTTCTCCCTCGATCATGTAACGAGTGGCTGTGGTTGAGCTTTGTTGAAGGAACTTTTGGAAAAATATTCGTCTAAGACTACAAGAGTTCGAGGCAAACGAACCTTTGGCTCTTCTTTACGAGCTAGTTTTCTCGTCCTTGTTGCTGCTCTGGTGCAGGTATTCTCAGTGTTTCGATGAGAACTTCCCTTTTGCCTTTCTTTCTTTGGTTAAACAGCTTGCAATTGAGTTTTACGCACCTTCCTCGCCGTTGGTGAGGTCCATGTCATTGAGATAAGTTACTTTGTCCATGGTGCTCGTTTTGCATGCATTTACCACTTTAAGACTTACCTTTAACGACTGCGGCCATGGCTTGCTTGGCAATATGTAGAAAAGCATATAATCAAAGAATTCGAACATGATGCTTGTAGTGTCTTTCGTTGCCGCTTCCTTAATGTCTGGCTCAATCCCTTATTCTTAAGTGAGCTTCAAGGATGAATTCCTTAAGGATAACGCACTTGTCCACCAAATGACTGACGATATGATGGTACTCCAGACGATATGATGGTACTTGGAGTACTTCGGATCATTCACTCTCGATTCATATCTTCTGGTCATTTACACTTAGGCAATTCAATCACCTTCTTGTCGAGCAGATCATCCAGCATGGCGACCGCCCAAAGCCAGGAACAAGTATGTCTTCTCCTTTTAGCTCATTTAAAGTGCGGTTATGTCTCTCTTGGTCACAAAAAGTTTCGCTCTGCTTTACCTCTTTCTTCTTGTCTCAAGTAGAGATTTTTAAGGAAGTTGTGTTGACCGCCATTGCTTCTTTGGTAGCCATTTTTCGAGATTTGTCTATTTTCTGCCCGACGAATTTATCTTTACTGTAATCAGCGATCGAGTCTTTCCTTCCATGATTAGTGATGCTTAACTCCATGTCATAGGCACAGGAAGCTAGCTCTTAAAGCTCTTAAATGTCTTGGGCTTGATGCCTTGGACAATGTAGCACAATCCCTAATGCTAAACCTATACGCACATCTCGATCGCAGGTATCTCTGAAAACATGTCCTTGCAGTTGAGACTTGGTGAGCGCCATCGAATGATGTAGTCAACTGGCTCTTCATTCCACTGCTTCATATTTATAAGCTCCATCATGCTGGTGAAGAATGTTGTCGAAACAATTCAAGCATCTGATCCCAACTTTTTATGGCTCGGGCTCTAGGTTTGTGTACCATTCGAATGCATTGCCCTTCAAGGAACAAACACCTGTTTCATGTGGTAGTCACCTTCCGTCCCAACATTGTTGCAAGTTTCGACGAACTGCTTCAAGTTTTCTTTTCGTCAAATTGCATGGTCTTAGAAGGTTGGTAGCATATCAGCATTCACAAGCTATCAATTCGCTTGGTGTATGGTTTGGAATATATTAGTGTATCCCAAAGAAGCACCTCCGTATTGTGCTCCGATGGTGTTTACCATCATGTCCTAAAATTGTTGGATGAAGATAGAGCTCATCGATAAAGCCTTGTCATCACAAAGTGCCTCATTCTCGCTGGTTTCCTCGTCATGTTGATTCTTCTTTGGGTTAAGGTTAACTTCTTTATCATGCTGCAACTCCAACTTGTTCGTGAGGTTGGCAATCTGCATATCATTCTCCTCGATGGTCCTTGTCAACTTTGTAATTGTCTCGTTCATCTGTGCAAGCTTCTCTTCATAGAGGCAGTTATGGTAGTCATAACTTGCATAACCAAAGTAAGACTCTCATGCTGACGTCGAAAGTGTCAGCGAAGTCTCCTGGCGATCATCATTGCTTGGTGATCTGCAGTACAATCTCGTGCTTTAGTCCGCATCTAAAATCGATAACGAACGCTCACTTGAATTCTTTGACCCCGAAGAACCCCGCGTGCAGGAGAAGCATGCTTCGGTACCGAGGCTAGGCTGATGACACACTAGTGCTCTGATTCAATCCTCTGATTCTCTAACATAAGTAGTGCGTGTAGGGTTGTTGATCCAAGGGTCATAATGGCTTGATCACAAACTACGAATGTCATAAGAATTTGGCTTGTAGCGATGAAGGAACTTGCACTTATGGTAATGCTTGATGATTCTTCACAAGTGCGGCGAAGACTGCAGAGAGCTTTCTGAATCTTTTAAATGTGCAAAGTGTTTGAGAGTTAAAGAGTCTAAGGGTGAGGATGTATGTGTGAGAAAGAATTTTTTATCTTGTAGCCCCGTATTTATAGGCTCCCTAAGTCTTTGATTTGGTGTTGATTTTGAACTTGATTAATTGACGAAAGAACTGAGACTTGATTCAGGCTTGTGATTTGACTTCATCAAATAGTCTTTTGATTTAATCAACAATCTTTGATTTAAATCATATAAATCAATCACATTTCATCCTTAATTTGGACATTCTTATTTTGGTATTTTTCTTTGTTTAAAATTTAATCAATTAATTTGTTTGATTTAAATTAAAACTAATTAAAGAATTAATAAAGATAATTTCGTAATCACACTCCACCAAAGATCGATGCGTGACACTTTTGATGACTTTAGGTTTTGATGAGTCACATGTCATGTGTATTATTTGTGAGACATATGGCGCAAGTCACGTAATCCTTGACATGTCGAAATCGTAATGTGTTTATGAGTATTTATTTCACCGAAATAATGTCTACACTAGTATTTTACTAACTTTATTCTTCGCAATCGTACCACCAAATACTCAAAACGCAAAAGCCAAAAGCAGAAGCCAAAATCAAATAGCATATATATTAGCAAGTAAAAGGACCTCACCCCAGTTTGAGAGACAAGATGTCGGAGCAATCATCTTCAAGGGAAAGAGAGCTGTTGGAGCAGGTGGTGACATTTGTGGTTGATTCAGATGTCATGCTTTCTTCTCCAATATTATTCAGGTTTTCCAACTCCAGGATGGCCTCCGGTCCGATATCTCCTCTGGGATACATCACCATCTGCCATATGCGAAAACAACAAAGAAAACAATCGCCCGGATTTAATTTACTACTTCAGATATCATTTTTCGTTAAATAAAAAAATATATAGGAGAAATATACTTCTTGGTGGTAGTTGCTTACCCTGTGGCTTAGCTGGTTGTTAGCTTCTATCAGCTCAGCTCCCTGCATGTATAGTCAGTACATGGAAGAGGACAACAAATTAAAAATTCATTGATAATAATTAAATTTAATATATGTTTATTATTTTCTTTTCTGGAAATTCTTGACTATTGTATATATTTGTGGTTATTCCATATATAGACACAAACCACAATCATCTATTTAACTATAAACCTTTTTCTCAAGTGCCATAACCTCACTCATAATCTTTTCTTCCTGAAATGAATGAAAAATTTGGAATTAGATCGATGTTTCTGGATAGACATATATTCAAAATGTCTCTAGTAAAATAACCTAATTAAAGTACGAAAAATAATTACATTGAGTCCTTACAACCAAAAAAGAGAAAAGGTCAAGTCTTTATTCAAATTGACCAAAGTCTAAAGTTAAAGATATGCACACAAAAGTAAAGTTCTAAAAAACGCGCTAGTTAGGCTATGTTGGGGGGCGGCTAGGCGAGGTTTTGGTAGATTTAAGGATATGTATTATATATCGTATAAATAAGTACCTATTTATACTTACAAAAAAACATAATTATAAATTACACAATAAAAAGACAGATTAAAATATTGTAACATATTGAAAATATAAAGAACAAGCATATAATGAGTATTCATCCAAATATTCAACAACTTCCTCACAATTTATTAAACAAAAAAAAATCCAAAATAAAAGTTATTAATTTTCTATCTAACTAAGAGTTGCGACCTAGGAGGGCTAAGAGGGCGCTTAGGCGGCTTAGGGGGGACGCCTAAGGACATCTAGACGCCCTTTCTTAATTTGCTAACGCTTAAGAATTAATCAAGCAGTGGCCAACCGCTAGCGCCTAGGCGGAGATTTTTAGAATAGTGGGCAAAAGAATAGCCAGATTGGAAATTTGTTAACCCTTTGATTAAACACGGTGATTAAAACAGATATTTACAAGCAAAATGTGTTGATCTATTTAAAACAGGAGTTCACTCATCATTGTGAAAAAAAAAATAGAGGAAGAAGTGTAATGTTACTTTTATAGAGTACTAATAACAAACTTCCTACTTAAACAGAATTAAGACATTTGTCTTAAATTCATTGCAACAACGATATTTGAACAAAGACTAATTTAAAAAAAAAAAAAGATCTTCCGAATTATTGCATAATAATACACATTAAACCTCACAATTTGCTCCTCTATCTGAGGAATACCTAGTTTTTAGAAGCCATGACCTGTATTCACTTGTAACAAAATAAATTTGTAGTTAGCACATACCTTAGTTTGAATCACACGGCCAAGGCTTGCTTCCACCAATTTTTCTAACTTCTGTAGTTCATCCAGATCCAAGTCTTCAAGGTCCACACCCTTCATCTGCCTGTTGCATGCCAAACCATTTCAGCACTCTCATCACACGATCGTACCAGCTTAATTAACCACCATATATCTTACAAGCAAATCAATAAATTATAATTACCTCAACTTGCAACTCTTATCCTCAAGTTCCTTCCTCAGCCTGATATTGTTTTCTTTCTCCAACTAATTAAATGGGAAACATGTTTATACCGAACCGTCATTACATAATCTAATCTGTCACATGAAAAGCTTATAAACATCAGGCCCAAAAATAAACAAGAGAATAGGAAAAAATCGGATGTTTCCAGTTTCTTATGGCAAAAGATGTTTCCTTCATACATAGGAAAGAAAGAAAAAACGGCAAAAGATGGATTACTGAAACATACTAGAGCATGGATTTACAATATGTAGCAATCTCCAGGTCATTACCAAGCAACCATATTTTGGGACAATTGATTCTTCAGCCAATATATGAAACTTTTTTCCGTGAGAAAACCTCAATGATTCAAATTAATACCAACTAATGACACAACTATACAAGCCTAACGCCTATTTATTTTTATTATGTTAAAGCAATGATTACTTGTTATACCATTAAAAATGGAAATTAAAGAGCAATTAAGATGGGAAAAAGAAAACCAATTTGAACTCAATTACCTGTAGCTGATGAATCGTGGGTTGATCCGATTTTTCCCCACCGATATGTGAATTGTACCTTGCAATCACATCCTTGGTGCTTCACAACATAAAAGGATAAATTTTTAGACACAGAAAACTAAATTCAACAAAAGAAAATAGACAGAAAGATAAATTAATACATGTGACTAAGCATATAGATAAAATAACAATAGAAGAAAAAAAATGTAACACAATTTCCATATTTTCTGGTTTCCAACAAGCCCAATAAATTAGTACATGCATGCTATATTTGGCTTTGTACGAAATTGTTACTTACTCTGTTCTTTTCTGGTTTAATCTTTTCTTTTTTTTCTTTTTTTTTTTTTTTTTACAAAAAGTAATTTAAAAACTGATACTGAAATCAACCACTTTGAACATGCATGCAAACATAATAACTTCTAAAATAAAATACGCCAAAAATAACTTGTAAAATAAAATAGCCAAAACATCATGCACAGTGACATGCAGAACTAATTTATCACGCAAAAAACAAAAAAAATCAGAAGAACCAATTGTTGACAATGAGTCCCACAATAATGAGATGAGGGACCTTGTTTAGGCTTATAAGTAAGTTGGGCTACTCCCCATATAGCCAATTGGTTTTATGGTGGAACCTCAATTTTCTTCATGGTATCAAAGCAGGTTGTTCCACTTGTGAAGCCAAACGGCCACACGCGCTCTATGCCACCCCGTTATGTTGTCCACGTGTTAGGCTTGAAAATTCGTCGCACATGAGGGGTGTGTTGAGAATGAGTCTCACATTAATAGAAGAAGGAACCTTGCATGGGCTTATAAGTAAGTTTGGCTACTTTCCATATAACCAATTGGTTTTATAGTGAAACAACTTTCTTCACCAATTAATCCAAATTAGGAGTATCAAGATTAACCAGCCTCAACAACTATCACTTTGGAGATATTTGGTTCTAGTCTGTTGCAAACCAACCAGCCAAAAGGCCCAAAATATTAGAGCACTTTCAGTATAGGAAGGCTTCCTTGGGCAATAGGCAACTCAATCCCCTTAAATGAACAGTAATTACCTGCAATAAACCACAATTGCACAAGTGCATCTCCATTCCTAAATTAAATAGCCCAAACAATTCATATTAAAATATTAGTATTTTTATTTTATACAATAATACAAATAACTTTATTTTTAATTTCAAATAATAATAAAAGATTAGTTGAATGTATTCAAAAATATTGAAATGTAGTGTAAACTGGAAGAACATGGTTATGTGTATTGTAATTTTATAAAAAAAGAAAATATATAATTTTTTTATATTTTTAAATAGTTTTTTTTTTACAATTTTCAATAATTTTTAATAATTTAAATTGTGGCTGACGACAACTTTATGACACATAGGCAGGGTGCTGGGGTAGGTGATTATTGCCTGACTTCTCCATCGGGCTTGCCTTGGGTCCAATTGTTCAAGTGCCTGGAGTGTTTTAGGGAGGCGAGGAGAGGGGATTGGGTTGTCTATCCCCAAGGTATAAACAACGGTGGAGTTGCTCTTAGAGCAAGTCCAACAAGGCATGGGATGCCTAGGCATTTAGGTTGAATTGTCGTAACCCAAGAAATTCAATTCCACGGGTCCCCAAAGGGGAGGGCAATTAGACCGAGGCCTTGTCTTCGTTAGATTGCAGCGTGGACGTGTTTTTTGCCAACTCCTACAAAAGAGGCGAAATAGCTACCACCCTGCCCTCGAGGCTGCCTAAGGCACGTTTTTAAAACACAGATTAAAATTAATTATGTTCGTTAAAATGCTATGCTTTTTCCTTGTATTTGAAATAAATTATTGGAATTAGACTTTATTTGATAAATAATGAGATATAGAGGATAAGGCCAATAAAACATAAAGAAAAAATACAAAATTACGTAAAGTCAATTACTGTTTATAGTGGATAATTAAGGCAATTTCATTGCCCTTACTTGACCGTTGCCTTCCTAAAACAGGGGGACTAACTCTTTTACCAAAAGTTTTTTGGAGGCCTTATTGCTTGGTCTGGATGCCCATATCAAAATGTACCTAACATCAACTCGGACATCATTGCAAATATGCTTTAATAATCAAATTTGCTATGGCCACTTTTTGGTGGGTTGCTTAATTACCTATCCTGAATTTTATTTATTTATTTATTTTTTTTTTTTTGGTGAAGTTTACCTATCCTGAATTTGTCAATGAAATGTACATCTTTTTTAAAAATACTTTTGTTTTCTGTATGTCTTAAATTACATGAATTTTTTGAAATTTTGAGATACAATACACTTACGTGCGTACTTTTAATATTTAGTACTCATTATCTACACATTTTTAATAATACATATAACATTCACATATCCTATACATATACAGAATAGTTAATATTAAAAAATAACTAAATTTAAAGATTTAGAAAAATGGCCCAAAGTTTTCAAAATATTTTTTATGCTTGCAAATTGTTAGGAAAAGATTAACGAAGAAACACATTCGACATCAAAACTTAGGAACCTTTGCACAATGTTTAAAACCTACACTTATAAACCTTTAATATTGTAGTATTTCGTATTTAAATGAAAAAGAATGCAAGCCTCAGTCGCTTAGTATTTCTTTTATTTTTAGGTGAAGTAAATTTACGCTTATTATTGTTTTTTTTATCAAGTGTGCTTCTTATTTGGAGTATTTGGTAGTTTCATTACTTTTTTTATTTTGCTCTAACATAACATGAGTTACAAGAGTGGATACAAAAATGGTGGAGAGTTGACAAGTAACCAACAACACTAAGGGAGGATTTTAGGCTATAGGTCACAAGGAATATCAACACTATATCGTCTGTGAAAAGCATACACCAAGGAATATTATCTTGAATATGTCCTGTTAACTCATCCATTACCAATGCAAAAAGGTAAGGACTTAAAGATGAGCCTTGATGTAACCCTACAGTTATGGGGAAGCTTTCGGTTTGTCCTTCATGAATTCTTACGGTAGTCCTTGCTCCATCATACATATCCTTTAGAGCTTAGATATATGCTACTCGTACTTTTTTCTTCTCTAAAATCCTCCAAAGAATGTCTCTTAGAACCCTATCATACGCTTTTTCCAAATCTATAAAGACCATGTGCATATCATTTTTCATATTCCTATATCATTCCATCAATCTTCGTAAGAGATAGATTGCCTTCATGGTTGAGAGTCTTGGCATGAACCCGAATTGGTTGTTCGAGACTCGTGTCTCTTGCCTCAGTCTATGCTCAATTACTCTCCCAAAGCTTTATTGTATGACTCATTAACTTAATACTCATATAGTTCAAGAAACTTTGTACGTTGCCTTTATTCTTGTGGATAGGCACCAAAATACTCTTTCGCCACTCATTTGGCATCTTCGTTTTCAAAATCCTATTGAAAAGGTCCCCCAAAGAAGTAATCTTTTCCCGTCCTTCATTGAAAAGATTATGAAAATAACCTCTCCGTCTGTCTTTGACCGCGTTCTCTATAGCAAGAACCTTTTCATTCTCATCCTTGATGCACCTCACTTGGTTTAGATCTCTTGTCTTCTTTTCCCTTGCTCTAGCTAGTTTATAGATATCCAACTCTCCTTCTTTGGTATCTAGTCGCTTATACATATCGTCAAAAGTTGTTAGTTTAGCTTCTCTCACATCTTTCTTCGCCTCCTTCTTCGCTATTCTATACCTTTCACCGTTTTTTTCGGTCATATCCTTGTATAAGGTTTTACAACATTCCTTCTTAGCCTTAACCTTTTGTCTGTACATCCTCCTTCCACCACCAAGATTCCTTTTGGTGTGGAGAAAAACCCTTGGACTCTCCTAATACCCATTTTTTTACTTTTCGGATACTACTAGCCATGGAATCCCACATTTGGCTAGATTGCCCCTCTATTCCAAACATATTGGGTGATTACCTTCTCTTTGAAAATGACTTGTTTTTCTCCTTTTAGATTCCACCATCTAGTCCTTGGGCACTTCAAGGTCTTGTTTTTTTTTCTCTCTTTGGATATGTACATCCATCACCAACAAGCGATGTTGATTAGCCGAGCTCTATCCCGGTATAACTTTACAATCCTTACAAGTTATATTTGATAAGTTTTACTAATTATTTTAATCATACTACATACAATCTTGTACTAAATCTCTTCCATAGATCTACTCAAATGACTTGGAACTTCATATTAATTAGTTTCAAGCAATCATAAGGAGAAATGAAATAATTGTGATATTTTAGATCATTCATATCAAGTAACAATAAGGAGACATGAAAAAAATTGTCTACTAACAACAAAGTTGCCTAGTCACAATGATATGTCATAGTCACTTATTGATCTCAAACACTTCTTCACAAAGAAGACTAGGCTTCTTACAACCTTTTTAGCATATAAGATCTCCAAGCGCATAGAGAACTTCAAGATCACATTGTTGAATACAATTCTTTAAAAATGAGGCTAATGGGCACCCTAATACCCCTAAAAGTTAAACAAGGAAGATGCAACGAACAAGCCTCGACAAGAGATCTTAGAGGATGGGGTCAAAGCTTCGTACTCAAGCCAACCTGTGTCATTTCTCATTCGATCAAAGAAAGAGTTAAAATTGACCTTCAATCCACGCGACAGACCACCGTAGGCATGAAGTCCACAAATGTGGTAAGGGTGCGGATGAGCACCAACAGCAATTTGAGGCAAAGAGGAAGCATAAATTGAAAAATCTACAGATGAAGAGTGAAAGAACAGAAAGAGGGAAAATATATGGTGTCGGGGGGGGGGGGGGTTAGAGAAGAAGATGGAGTGGGTGTTGCAAGGATGAAAGAAACAAGTGGAGGAAGAACAGAAACAAGAACAAACCACAAAATGGGCATAGCACCCAAATCTGAGACACTAGCTCAAAACAACTGAGACAAAATCTTAGAAAACTGATACAAGAGCTCATAAGGTTGCAAATCAGAGGGGTTGGGTGGAGCAAAAGCTTTGCTATCCCATTACACAAGTAATCAACAATGAGAACAACAGTAACTCAGCTCAGGTTTACCGGCGGTTGACATGCATGATCAGCTTATCACTCTCTATGGCATGGCTATCAACAAAGGGGAATGAGACCAACTCATCTTGGTTCTTAGGTGGTGATGACCACAGCCTAGTCAAGTTGATTGATTTCGATGATGTCCCTTTTTCCAGTCATTCATCACAGTCAACCAAGGCAATGAGGTCAGCTCGAATTGCCGATGGTGGACCCTTTGATGGCCTAAAAAGGCCTTTCTATACGTGGGAGTATGTTGGCCCTAATACGTGACGACTCCTTATTGATGTATTCAACTCGGAAAGTTATAGGTAAAGAATGCCAAATAGTAAAAATAGGAAGATCTAGATGACAAAAAGCTTATTCACACTCTAGCAAATAGATGTATCAACTGCTTAGAAGCTAGCTTCAAAAGAATTTTCTTTTGACGCAATAGACAAGTTAATACACACCACCCTACAATAAGAGCATATTTTCTGTGCAAGCTCACAGATTCCCTACAACAAGAGCCTCTTTTCTATGCACGCTCACATATTGATATACTAAATCCTATTTAACACATTCTAGGTTAAAGGAGCTACTTTAAAATGGTATTTCTAGTTTTATTAATAAAAATTACATCATCACTTACTATGTGTAGAGACTTTTACTTTTTTGTAATTAAAACAAAGCACAACTTTATCTAAATTCTTATTCCACAATTACATATCTACATATTAATCTTGCAAGTATAGTCAAGTTCGTCCATTATTTCATGCATGCATATGAATAAACAGGTTATGGCCATAGCTGCACCACTCATTCCCTACTTGACTCATGCATACAGATTCCTTCTGAAAGGATCTTCAAGGCTTCTATATGATGAATTCCCAAAGTTTTCATCATATCACTTTATTCCTAGTAAGAAAAATCCAAAGCATATATAATTGATGTTCGTGGTTTAAGTCCTTCGCAAATTCACCGTATTCATTTATAGGTATTTTAATTTAGTGGGGAGAATGGACAACTATTGGAACATAACCCAACATCAGGTGTTGAAGTTGGCATAGATACACCGTGTATCCAATTAAAAGACTATATCCTTCTTTTCATAAAGCCCAATAATATTTTAGATATTATTATCTACAACCAATTTGTGATAGGTGACTCTTATATATACAGAGTTCACTAGATAAACTATGAAACTGTAAAATTGTAATAAGATTACATAATTCCCTAGACAAGTTACTCTTAGTTTACAGAGTTCTGCACGCCAGACACGATTAATTGTTTATTAGCATGAAAAGCAGAGAAGTCAGCATCACCAAGTAATTTCACATATTGAAAGCACGTAAAACTAATAAATTGTTTCTCAAACTTGGACACCTAGTTAGAAGTTGTCAAAATCAAAAGTACGCCCCAGTTTCCTGAACTGGAATATTCTAGATAGCTTTCCTTTTTCCTCTCCCTCTCTCACTCTGTGAAAGCTTTTGGTTTCTCTAGCCTTTCTTCTGTACCTCATCTAGTGTATCTTTCTGTAAATGATCATTACATGCATGGCTTATCTACATACATACATACATACATATATATATATATATATATAATTTTGACCCAGATGACTGAATCTCTCTCTCTCTCTCTCTCTCCCTCTCTCTCTCTCACAGAAAAAGAGAGAGAAGTCAAGTTATGTACTTAGTTATATTTGTTCAAGTTAGGAAAATTCGAAAGAACTGAAAACGCGGTGGGGTGTTGTATTGGTACCTGGAGCTTGAGAAATCAAAGAGCTTGCCAGTTTGAGAAAAGATGATAACAGCAACTTCAGATTCACACAGAATCGACAGCTCTCCAGCTTTCTTGAAAATCCCCCTTCTCCTCTTTGAGAAGGTCACCTGCCTTGCCGGCAAGTAGTCGATCTTTTTTATCTTGATCTTCATTTTCTCTATTTCTTGCTACCCCCTTCAGAAACAATAATTCAAATAAAATAAAATAAACCAATCACTTTAAATTTCCACATATATATAAATGTTTCACAAACTCACAAACTACAATATATTTTCTGGGTTTCTGATAATTTTAAGATTATTGACCTCAAACCCTAACATTTCTCAGATCTAAATAAGTAAAATAATACACAGATCAACCCACCAACCACAATCAACTGCCAGACAAGCCTAGAGTATTTAGTATTCACCATTAATAGAAGGAAAAAAAAAGAAATGAAAAACATAGATAAACTAATTACTGGGTTCACCTCTGGTTCTTTTGTTCACCTTCGTTGGGGGGTTTTACCTCTGAAGTTTAGGTCTGCACTGGAAATTTTCCGAGCAATTTTGGAAAGAGGAGAAGACTGAGGAAGGAGGGAGAGAGAGAGAGAGAGTTGGCGCTGCAGGCTGTTCCAGAAAGGAAAGGTCGCTAAATGAATTTTCCCATTTATGGAAGAACTTGGAAATATCTTTTATTAATATCCGCTATTTGTTTCTTTTTCTATTTTTAGATATTTTGGATATTTTGTTGGGCAAATATGGTAAGAAACATGGAACTTCAATCAACGGTTATCGATGCAGTTGGTGTGCTGAATGCTATCCTACCGTTTATTGTCGGTTTAGCCTATTTCTTTATACGTGTCCCACTTTTTTGAGAGATGCTAGCATCACTTGCTAGTTGCTAAATCAGCTTCTTCCTCAGTCGATGCTTGTGCAGTTGACACGTAACAGGTGTTTGGTACAAGGAAAGGAAATGGGGCGGTGGACGGAAAGGAGTTACAGTATCGAACCGGAAAATAACTGATCGGTTTGGTATTTTTTTTTTTTTTTTTCAGTTTACTTTGGTACGGTGCAAAACCGAACCGGTTTTCCAGTTATACGGTACGGTGTTTATCCGAGTTCACATGGAGTCGGCCACACCTGATGGATTTGACTTCCACTGCCCCCCACCCCCCCCCCCCAACCCCTCTCTCCCTTCAACCACTCGATCTCTCTCAGACTCTCACTATTCTCGGTCTCTCAAACCGTCTCCAATCTCTCTCAGACTCGATCTCTCGCTGCCGTCCATCTCCTCTCCAATCTCTCTCGATCGTCGTTCCTCCACCATCAACCATCAACCAACAACAAACAACCAGTCCCCCATATTTCCAATTTCCCAATTTCCCAATTTCTTTCTCAGTCTTTCACTCTCGAATGTCGGACGGACAAACAAACTGTCCTGTGAGTGTATGTGAGTGTGTGTGTGTGAAGTTGGTTTGTGAGGCATGGGAACTCTGGGTGTATGTATGTATGTATGTATACTGTGGGTGTGTGTATGTATGTATGTACTGTGGGTGCGTGTATGTACTCTTTGTGTGTGTGTGTGTGTGTGTGTGTGAAATTGGTTTGTGAGGCATGGGAACTGTGGGTGTATGTATGTATACTGTGGGTGTGTGTATGTATGTATGTACTGTGTTTATGTACTGTGGATGTGTGTATGTACTCTGTGTGTGTGTGTGTGTGAAATTGGTTTGTGAGGCATGGGAGAACTGTGGGTGTATGTATTATTACTCTTAATGACATAGATGTCAAAAAATGTAGTGAGTTCTGGTATTCATTGCAATATGACCAAGTAGTCATTGAAGAAATATGCGTATCAGTGTTGGTGTATGTTATATATGCAAAATATTATGTTATGTTAGTCACTTATATGTATGATCAGTTTATGTGTATATACAATATGTCTATTACTTTGGGACTGTTTGTTGCTGGCATAGTTGCCAGATACAGAGTACGATTCAAGTTTGAGCTTCTTCACTTGTAACACCAACGAAAGAATGAATGCAACTTAAATGATATGCAAATGAAAATTCAATAACAGCACAAATCTCTCTTAATCGAACATTAACAGAATAAGGGAGTTTGGAATAAATCTATACCTAAGGTTCTAAAGATGGGATCAACTTGCTCCAATGTTTATATGAGCATGATTTCTGAGATATCCCCAGATAATTTCTCTAAACCATGAAAATGTGTAGTGTCTGACCTAGGGTCTTTTGAAAGCTTCATCAGAACCACACAAAAATTTCAACTCAGAGTGTGCATATTTTGATGAAAGTCGTTAAGCTGTAGCCATCTCATAGTGATTGCACATGTCAACAGGTGATAGGATATGAATAAAACAATGTGTGGTGATCACGTGTGATTTTAAACATGCACGAGCACATGCTTGACCTAGCAGAAAAACACTAGACAAAAGTATTCTTTGTAGCGTCACTTGCATCATTATGACTTAATTGTGGATGTAAATTTCTTCATCCTTATTCTTGGATAAAATTGCACATACAAAACAAATAACACATTAGATCAAGACGAAGAGCCTCACGCGCCCACAATGAATGGGAGGGGCTTTAGCCGAAGAATCTCCAATGTCAAAGTTAGAATTTTAAGGGAAAAGTGTTTGGAGAATTTAAAGAATTTAGCAAGAGAATTGGAATTCCGTTTTGGAGAGAATGATGGTATTTATATAGGGGTGTGGCCGGCCACCTTGGGAGGAGATGGACCGGCCACTTGGATGGATTTGTGGGTCAAGTTCATGATTTGTGTTTAATTAGCAAATTAATTGAATAATTAATCAATTAATTAGCTGATTAATATAATAAAAAATTAATTATTTATGGGTTACGTTGTGGATAATATATGATGAGGGATTGATGAAATAGGTTATAAATAAATACCTATTTAGGCACTTTTGACTTGATTGAGGGATGATTGTCCACCGCTAACCCGTAGGAATTCCAATGTGCCTCAAGGGTAATTTTATCATTTTCACCCAAAAATCCACGTGTCACCTCTTGATTATTTTTGGCTCCACAAATGCTCCCACACCTGTTGGGCTACTCGCCGAAAATGGCAGCAGGTGTAAAGATCTTCTTGTTTTGGCAAACTTAGGATTGTTTCATGTTTTGACGTAAATTCCATCTTTAATTAGAAATTAAATCATTCTAGGAAAGGGAAATAAATTTCTCCCAAAGCCTATTTAAGTTCACCTTAAGTGGATTATTAAATCAACTTTAGAGAAAGATTTATTCTACCCTACAAGAGAGAGAGAGCTTAGAGGATATTTGTTCCCTCTCCTCTAGCAATCTTCTACATCTTGCCCGTGCAAAGGATCGTCTTTCGTTGCTTGCTTCGTCTTCTTCGTGCCGCACCAAGGTAAGAAAACTTTAATTTTCCTTCTCTTCTTCTTAGATAGTGCTGTCGCTGGGCAGCCGTCGGGGTGGTGCGGCACGTCGGCTGACACACCCCGACCCAGAATGTCTACTTGAACTCCAAATCGAGTTGTGCTGGCCGATACCTGAAAGGTGATGAAGCCATAAAGTGTAGTGATGTGGAAAAAAAGTGAATAAATTAAACCTAAAAGTGCCTCATCAAAAAAGTGAGCGGGTGAGCGGGTGAGCGGGATTGAACCCTTTTCACACGTAATGTTAGAGTATAAGACGGTATAGCAAATAGGATGAGGGTTATACCACTGAAGGTAACCATCTCCTGAGATTTGCTAGAATCCTCGTATACACGTAAACACCGCTACTAAACCTGGAGAGGCGAAAAACAAGTTGAGTGGGTCAGCAAAACAATGCTTATACGAAAACCTTTATTTTTGAATATACTAACCCCTCGCCATAAAATAAGTATAGTTTCCTCAAAACATACTACGTAAGTATGTAATCTAATATAACAACAATATAACCATAAATATGCCAAGTCATGATATATCAAATGCCAAAGTAATATAAACATGTGATAATCAATTATAAGTAGTTTGCTCATCATCTAAGCTAGCACACGAGTCGGAACTGCCTAAGGCAATTCTACCTGACAGGACTGGGTGTAATCAATGCGCTCTAGTACTACAATCACGCGAAGATTGTTGTAGAAGCACGGTCACATACAAGTCGGATTGCCTAATGCAATCTACCCGACACGACTGACACCTAACTTGGATCCAAGGTGAGCAAGATGAGCATGTATACAAGTATGTATGATTGTCATGACAGTAATATCTTAACCATATAACAACATTTATCACAATTCATATCACAATAATGATACTAGGCAATATAGGCGTAAAATGAAGTAACTACGCATTTAGGGAAACTATCAATATGTATAGGTATAAATAAACTGCCCACTCACAGATACTTCGCCGCTAACGAGCCATGTAACTTAGCGAAGATGGAAACGCCACTAATAATTGCCCCTAAGCATATAAATGTACAATTAATAAAACTATACTATAACAATTGAATTTGGGCAAAAAAAAAGACGTCAAAAATGGATTTAGGACGTCAAATTACCCTAAGAAGGGTCCCGCTTAAATTTCCGAAAAGTCAACAGGATGAATATTCCCTAAAGGACGGAATATTCTCTAACAGATGGAATATTCCTTAATGGAATATTTCATTTGGGTTAAGGGTTATTAGGTTGGGTTAGTTTAATAGGTTGGACTTAAGGGTTCGAAGCCTAACAGCCTAAACTAAATGGGTTTAGGGCTTTAGGAATTGGGTTTGGGGTTTAGGCCTTCAATTTAACAAATAACATAAAAACAAAAGAGTTAAAAGGGTTATGGGTTTGGGTTTAGAGTCACGGGCCAAAGGCCTTCTTTTACTTGGCCCCAAGGGCCTGGGTTTGAAAGGGTATGGCTTAAAAGCCTGGCCCGAGTCCAACATATGGGTCGCCAGACCCAAAGGGAGAGGAAGGGCTACACAACCTTTAAACGTTTACAACTTCCTCGTTACTCAACGAAATCGAGTGAAATAAAAACGAAAGTTATAGTTCTCGAAGATACAAAGAGAATGGTAACTTGGACGATGTCTAACTAGCCGTGGTTTGGCCGAAAAACACCTCGAAAGTCGTCAGACTCGCCGAAAACTGGGTAAGATTCAAATGAGTATAACTTCTTCACTACTCAACGAAATTGGGTGAAACAAAAAGGAAAGTTATAGTACTTAAGGAGACGAAGAGATTGATACCTTGCATGCCAGTCAACTCATCGTGGTTTGGACAGAAATTGGCTCGAAAGGCACGGGTCAAACTTGAACTTCTCAAAACCGAGTTGTTTCACATCAAAGCTTCCTCAAACCTTGACTAGGGACCCTAGGGAGTTGCATAGAGGCTTTCTCAAGTCCTAAAACATCGTGACTCGGTTGAAAACAAGTCGAACTCAACTCGTCCGAGTTCGGACCTTTCGAGTTGGCGAGTCAAAACTCGTCCATTCTTCGTTTGATTGGTATAGTTGTGTTTGTGGAGGTAAGGTGAACACAATGGTAAGGTTTTTAAGCTCGAACAGTGAAGATTTGGGGTTGGTTTTCCTTGTTGCAGAGAAAAGAGAGTTTCAAGAGGGAGAAAGAAATAAGGAAAAGAGAGAAAATAGTGTTTTTTAGAAAAATAAAATATTAGAAAGTGAGAGAGTTGAA